GTAAATATAATATATTAAAAACGTTTATTTAATTTAAATAACGATTATACGGTAAAACGTAAACGTTATACGTTAAAAGTATTTATTTAATTAAAAAACTATAAAAATCGACTTAATACGTTAATAAGTTAACGTTATATTTATAACGTTTAACTTATAAAAAAACCCGTTATTAATACTTAATATAACTTAACGGTAATAAATACGTAAAGTATAAAAAAAACACTAAAAAAAAGGGTCGAAACGTTACTTATAACGTTTTATATAAATAAACGAAAGACCTTACTTAGTTACGTTTCGACCGATTAAGTCGAAAAAGATATAATAATCTTTTAACCACTTTTAATATAAAGAATCTTTAAAACCGAGTCGTAAATAAAATCATTCGAGATTCGAACCGTCGTTATTAATAATAAAAAGTATATAGTTATAGACGACCTACGACTTTATTACAACTCTTTTATAAACGGTCCGACTCGTTACTTTATTAAAATCCGTTATTAACCGGTAAATCTTTTTATAAACCCGAATAAATACTATTAACCGGTATATAAATTTATTAATAATATATAATAAAGTTAAAAAGGTTTCTTCGTTTAATTTTAACGAAAAGTCGATTACTTTAATAATAATATAAAGAACGGTACGAACGTTTTTTATAATTAACGTAAAACCATTTTATAAAAGTAATAACGAACTTTGTATCGTTAATATCTCGTCGTTACTTTACGTACGTAATGTAAAGTTTAATGAACGTTAATACTTTTAAAATTATTGATAACGTTAAAAATATAAATAACGTATATATATACTTAAAGGTTAGTAATAAATTTCGGTTCGAAGTCGTCGTTATTTTAAATATTAAACGACTCGTTATTAAGTCCGTTATTTATCGTATTATTATTACTATTTAAATATATATTATTAAAAACGTTATAATTAAACGTGTTACGAACGAAACGTTTAAAAGTTGTAAACGTAGGTTATACTATAAAAAAAATAAGAGTAATATCGTTAATAATACGTTACCAATTCGTAAAAGTAACGAAAGTAATAATAAATTAAAACGAAACGGGTTTAATAAACTTACAACTACGTTATAAATAGTAAAATTATTAATTAATTAAGAACGATTTAAGTTTAAAAGACCCGTAATTAAAAAACGAAAAGTAAGTATAATAGTTTAAAAGAATAAAATAAAAGGAATTATAAACGAGTTAAGTAATAAGTTAAAAGAAAACGGTTAAAGACGAGATTCTTTTATAAACGATAAAGTTATTTATTAAATAACTTTTAACGAATCGAGTTAAAGTTAAAAGGACTTAACGATTAATAAACGACTTATAAACGAATTATTACTGATACGTTAAACGGTAATATGAGTATAAACGTATTCTTTAATCTTTAACACTATAAGTTAACTAGTATAAAAAAAAGTAAGTAAATAACGAAACGAGTTAACGGTATACCGAATAAACGTATAGTTTAATACGTTTATAAAACGTTAAATAATTAAACTTAAGTTACTTATATCGTTATACGAAGTAAAAAGAAATAACGGGGGAAAATTACGAAATTCTTATTATAATATCGTTTAAGAACTTATTTTCGTTACGTTTATAACGTTTAAATATATCGAAAAGTATATTAAAAAAATAGTTTAATTAAAAACGACTTTTAAATAAATAAGATAGAAAATATAAGTAAAAAGAAAAAGGTTATTAAAAAAATTCGACTAATAATTTACGAGTAAAAAACAACCGACTTATTTGAAAAACGTTAAAAAAAAGAAAAAAAAGTAAGTTACGATTCTTTTAATAAATAAAAAATAATTTATTAAAAAAACGTTCGTTAAATATAAAAGTAAGTAAAAAGTAAAAAAAAGTAAAAGTAAGTTATAATAAAAACGATAAAAATAAATAACGTTTATAAAAAAAGTAATATTTATAAATAAACGTTTTAAATAAAAATAATCCGTAAACGTTCGTCGTTACTTATTTATTACGTAACTACGTATATATTTTACGAAAACGATAACGTTAAATAAAATTTATATTTTAATTAAAAACGAGGATATTTATTTAAATATTAATATTTAACGATAAATAATTTAAATACGTTTAACACTTTTAAGTCTCGTATTATATTAATAATTAACGGACGGAACTATTATATAATATAAAAGATTATAAAGTAACTCGTATACGAAATAACGGACTATCGTACTTAACTAATAAATTAATTATAACTTTCGACACTCTTTACCAGTAAAAGTAAAAAGAATAAAAAAAGTCGTAAAAAGAACTAAAGTCTAGTTTACTAAAAAGGGAGAATAATTATTATAATCGATTCGAGACTAAAGGTTACGAATTAAGTAACTAAACTTATATAATAAACCACGGTATAGTTAGTTCCTAACCACACGTTAACGTCACACCTACGAAAAACCATTCTTTTTAAATAATAAGACTCCCTTCTTCCTTCTAGGAAGAAGGGGTAAGGATTAGTCTCTGTTATAATACACACCTACCTTCGCCCTCGAAACCAGTACTTTTCATTAACTAATATATCGTGAAGACCTATCCCACAACCACTTATAACAGTCTACGCGTGATAGTATTATTACCGGGGTTAATAAGGACGTTTAATTATATAAATACTTTTAATTTTAAAAATAAATACGTTATATAATATACCTGAAATATTATTTTTATTATAACCGAATTTTTATCAAGTAAAAAAAAGTATTTAGTATATTAAAATACTAAAGCTAATTTATCAAATACTAATACTAGAATACTAATATTAAAAATATAAATATTAGTTTAATATTTGAAAAATCTATAATAATACTAAAATACTAATACTAACATCCTAATTCCCAACTCTGTTCGATAGTACCACTTTTTAGTAACTAATCTATCGTGAAGACCTATTATACAAATACTTATAATATATATATATATATATTTATTTTAACTCTCGTTACTTAATATATCGAAGTTAGTGACGTTTATTAATAGGTTTAATAAGTGGTGATTAACGCCACCAAGGAGCAGACAACAGCGTTCCGTCCGGATCCAGTACCTGGTACTACATTAACAAAACGCTACTTCATAGACAAAGCTACGGCAACCAAAGTGACGCAAGAGCGGCACAGGTGGGTGAGCATATGAGTGGAGGAGGGTGGGCTGGCAAAGACTGGAGACTGGAACATGGAGGAAGAGAGCACCGGTCAGCGGTGACATCTACCGTCCACGAGAGGCGAGTATTGGTGAGGAGCCCTCTATGTTCCTCTACCTAATATTACTTGCGTTTTCCTTGAAGTTGTTTGTTTTATTCCAGAATTGGTGCCGACGTACCGAGGATCGGTAGTTTACTGCTCACTTGTTTTACGCGTGTTAGTCCTTTGACCTCTCAAAGGTTATAAATAACCACGTTAGGGTGTAATATAAATATATAAAGACTTACTATTTAAGTTGAGAATAGATTATAACCGTTATTACGCCTTCATTAAGTACGACAAGTAAACATTTTTATATTATATTATAAGCCTGTAACTTCCATAACCGCTTTTGAAGAGATATTGTTCTCGCACCCCTTAGAACCACAGCCACCGCGCCACGAAATATCACGGACAATTTTTGTAGCTCATGTATGTATACATCACCAAGAAGACAACGGGCATCATAAGAGGGTAAGCCCTGTATCGTATGTGACTCACTTTTAACCGGAGCCAGTTGTCGCCAACTACTGCCGTCGTATTGTCCATCCTGGATGCCTAAATTGAAAACGCAACCGAGCTGATGCAAGCTCCCAAGCTGATCCAGGTCCTGGAGTGACGTTAAGTATTTTCTCCCATACTTCTCCGTAAGGACGGAAAAGTACAATAGCTCCTCATATACACGCCGACGCATAAGCTCGAGGACAAGGATATCCATATCCTCTCTCCAGACGGCCCCGCCAAAGGTACTCCCAAGACCCGATACCCGGAGTAGGGATCTAAAACCCCTCCGGTATTTGCCAGACGTCTGCATGAAACCATGTAAAAAGTCCCTGCGGGGGAGGGTATATGCACTGGGGCCTCGAGTTGCACTGGCGGGTTGAAAAGTACGCCACAATAGGCCTGGTACGGGATATTGCGATGGTATTGTAGTCGAGAGATCAGGCGGCACCCACCAAGGATCACCAGTCACGGGATGGGCCATGAGCTTGAAAACCTGTAAGCAATCCCTTGGAACTCGCGTTTTCGTCAAAGGGCAGCACCGGCTTGGACTAGCAAGGATCTGGGCTGTTCGGTATGTGTTAGTGAGTACAGGTGTGATGAACTCAACGACTGCAAATCTCAACAAGTGCAAAATACACCACCTACCAAATGCGTTACTAGCCAGTTTTCGCTGAAACTTGGTTGAATTGACCCGAGCCTTTTTTGGCAGTGTCCATCTTGTACGGGCAGAAACGAAGGACTTGTTTGCTAGAGGTGATACTGGAAGGTCACCATTTATATTGGCCTTCTGATCCCCAGACCGTGACTCTACACAGGGAACAGATGCGTAAGCACGCTTGGGACCTTGCCCTAGCAGATTAAATAGTTGCCATGCACAAGCAGTGCGGACATTGCCTCGAGATTTACCGTTCCTGGGTGTGGTATGTCGGAGCGCCAGCCTTATAGCCATGATGTTGGCCAGATGTATCGTATCATAGAATCCGTTTAGCAGAACTGAATGCCATCGTCAGGCTCTCGTAGTCGTCGTATTGTAGTAGCTGAAAAGAGCTCTGATGTCGAGTTGTGAGTGGTTGAGCGGCCTCTGTCATGCTGTATGCAACAAAGCGATGTATATGCCCCACTTTTACAGGGTTCCGGCGATGCGATAGAAAGAGGCTACGTGTTGGGGTTTATTTGCAGGGTTACTCACACGTCACCACCAAACAATGAATTGCTCGACAATAACAAGGCGCATATTTCAGGGGCCCGTCCCCATCCAGCATCGCCTGCTGGCATGGTCGGCACGAACGGCACGTTTCTCGAAGCTCTCACCGTGTGCATCACCAGCTGCATCACTGCCGATGCCTTATATCACAGAGGTTACGGTATGTCCCTTGTGGGTATTGAGGTGGTGACTTAATGGCATATGTGTGAGGCGAACTGACATAATAGGCTGGTGGCTGGCGAACATGTCAGTTCCATTATATACGTGGATTCTAGGTGATTTAATTTACTACAACTGACTAAAATAAAACTTACTGAAATAGCGGACATATTTTCCAAGCTACTACAGGAACGGATCGTATGCTTGAACGGTGCCATTGATGATACGGTCTCGGCTGCTGTTGTGGCACAGCTTTTATGGCTCGAATCAGATGCCCCCGAGAAACCGATCACAATGTACATCAACTCGCCAGGTGGTGAAGTTAGCTCTGGTCTCGCTATATATGATACTATGTCTTATATCAAATCACCTGTATCAACGGTGTGCGTCGGGGCTGCTGCATCCATGGCAGCAATTCTTCTTATCGGAGGCGAGGCCGGCAAGCGTTTTGCGCTTCCACACAGTTCGATAATGGTACACCAGCCACTAGGGGGAACTCGGGGACAAGCTGCAGACATTTTGATATACGCGAACCAGATACAGCGGCTGCGCGGGCAGGTGAACAAAATAGTCCAGAGCCATATAAACAAGTCATTTGGGCACATGAAATACAGCATCGAGGAAATCAACGACATGATGGAGCGAGATAGATACTTGACCGCTGAAGAGTCAAAAGAGCATGGCATCATAGACGAGATCTTGGTCAAGCGGCCGCTTGACGGCGATAAGACATCAGATGCGACTTAAATAGCACTTTCACGTAATCAATTTTGTTAAATTAGGCGTGTCGTCGACTTGACCGGCAAAAAAAACGTCAGCTTCATTTGTGGCACCGGAGGACTAGATAATCCCGCTTGGCGGTGTTGACAGTATGATTTTCATAAGTTTTGTTCACTTTTGGTTCGCCAATCAAGGCAGGCTTAGTTGTTTAGAGTGATGTTCGGAGATACACCAGTGTCCCCGGACGAAAGCGTGGTGCTAAATAAGAAGCTAGACAAAAAAATGATAATATGGACCTGGTGAGGTAGGTACAACTGGCACAAGCTGAAAAAGGAACCGAACGAGACAAGCATGTCCTCGCACACACAGTCAGATTAACATCTCATTCGGAGCTGGGCACTTTAAAAGGCCGGGGTTGTCCTGTATTCGCAACTGCTTCTCAAGACTAACACACAAAGGATCTGAAAAGAGACGGTGGTATGCGAAGTTGACTATTTCTCCTGTTTATTATTTTACGTCAAATACGCCAAGGAAACTTCACGACTTCATTCCGCATTTCCAGCAACATTTTAGTCGTCTTTCGGCGTGATGCTCTCTACTGGCCTTCTCAACGCAAGCCGGGCTGCTACGCAGCAGACCGGCACATCATGGGCCACCACGGCATTGAAGTATGTCTCCCTTTCACGCTCCAAACTGCCTGCTCTCATATACCGCTTCAGAGGGCGTATGGATGACGTGTGCCCCGCTTGTCTCTTATGTGAGGTCTAATATTAGTTTTGGACAGGCAACGTCGTTTCCTGTCGCAAACGATTCCTGCCCTAGCTGAGAACATCCAGAAGCTCAATAGAGTGTCCTCGTTTATCACCCAGCCGAAATCCCAAGGTGCATCCCAGGCCATGCTTTACGGCGTTGGTTTGACTGAAGAGGACATGAACAAGGCCCAAGTTGGCATCTCGTCCGTCTGGTACGAGGGAAACCCATGCAACATGCACCTCATGGACCTGTCGAATGTTGTCAAAAAGTCGGTTGCGAATTCCGGCCTTGTCCCTCTAAGGTTCAATACCATTGGTGTATCCGATGGCATTAGCATGGGCACGACAGGAATGCGCTATTCCCTGCAGAGTCGTGAGATTATCGCCGACAGTATTGAGACTGTCATGAACGGCCAGTGGTACGACGCGAATATCTCTCTCCCGGGATGTGACAAGAACATGCCGGGCGTCCTTATCGCCATGGGACGTGTGAACCGTCCGAGTATTATGGTGTATGGTGGTACTATCAAACCTGGTTGTGGCAAAGGTGGCCAGTCCCTTGACATCGTCAGCGCTTTCCAGGCCTATGGACAATATATCTCTGGCTCTATCAGCGAGGAGGAGCGCTTCGATATTATTCGCAATGCTTGCCCTGGTGGAGGGGCGTGTGGCGGCATGTACACGGCCAACACCATGGCTAGCGCCATCGAGACTCTAGGTATGACGCTGCCGGGAAGTAGCAGCTACCCTGCTGAGCATCCGATGAAGGTCGCCGAATGTGAATCTATTGGCGACGCGATCCGTAACCTCTTGAAGGAGGACATTCGACCCCGCGATATCATGACTCGGCAGGCGTTTGAGGACGCCATGGTCCTTGTTACAATTCTCGGCGGTAGCACGAACGCCGTTCTGCACCTGATCGCAATCGCCGACTCCGTGGGAATTAAGCTCACTATTGACGATTTCCAGGCAGTCTCGGATCGTACCCCCTTCCTAGCGGACCTCAAGCCGTCCGGAAAATATGTCTTCGAAGACTTGTTTAACATTGGTGGAACACCTGCTCTTCTCAAATTTCTTGTCAAGGAAGGGATAATTGATGGCAGGGGGATTACAGTAACGGGCAAGACACTGAAGGAGAATATTGCTTCGTTTCCCGACTTCCCTGACGACCAGCCCATCATCCGGCCTTTGAGTAGTCCCATCAAACCAACCGGGCATCTTCAGATTCTTCGTGGTTCGTTGGCGCCGGGAGGGTCGGTCGGTAAGATCACGGGCAAGGAAGGTCTTAGGTTTGAAGGGGCAGCCAAGTGCTATGACGCCGAAGATGATTTTATTGCTGCACTTGAACGGGGTGATATCAAGGTTGGTGAAAAAACTGTTGTTATCATCCGCTACGAGGGCCCAAAAGGTGGACCAGGCATGCCAGAAATGCTCAAACCAAGCTCTGCTATCATGGGCGCGGGACTCGGCAACGATGTTGCATTGCTTACTGATGGTCGCTTTTCGGGCGGTAGCCACGGCTTTTTGATCGGCCACATCGTTCCCGAGGCTATGGAAGGTGGCCCGATTGGCCTCGTTAGGGACGGCGACCGTATTGTGATTGACGCGACCGAAAGAGTTGTTGATCTTGAAGTATCGGAAGAGGAGCTCGAAAAAAAGACGGAAGGAGTGGAAGGCGCCGCCGATGCGGGCAGTTAATGGCACGCTGAGGAAATATGCTGCCTTGGTGAGCAACGCCAGTCTTGGCTGTGTGACCGACAAGTTTTAAAATGGGATTTATGCACCGACATAGTCTTTCGATGCTGTAGTCTATTTGAACGTGCTTCCTTTGCAACTCTAATTAATCGGAGGGGGTTGATATGTGAATACGACCAATGGTGTTTTTGCTGCCTACAAATGAGTATTCCTTAAAGCGAGGCAAGGAAGAATTGTGGGATAGCAAGCTTGGTCATATAAAACGGGAACCAGAACATGACTCCTCGACATTAAGACGCAAGTCTGATTGAAGCGGCGCCCGAGCCCAGTCAGGTATGTAAACAGAGCTTGAAGTCTTACCGATCTTAAAACATCACTAGTCTCTCCTTGGCCGTCTCCAGGCCTGCACAAACGCCTCTTTATCTCCAAGAGTCAGGCCTACTCTCTTATTACGGCCCAGCCGAGCCAACGACTCAGCCACACGATCGAGAACGTGTTTCTCATCCGGTGTTAAGTCGGAATAATTTTTACCAGAGCTACCTCCGCACGAGCTTGCCTCTCCCGCCAATGTGCCCGTCTCATTTAATATGCCTTCTGCGATACGGACGCGGATACAATGAGTTGGCCGGCTGAGAAGCTTCCAGAGGAATGCCACCCAGGCTCCCGGAATAGGCGTCGTGATATCTGGTGGCGTGTAGCGTAGGCTCACGGGGAAAATCCTGACGGTGGGAGGTGTCGTGAGTAAAGAAGGGCTGAATGGCAGCACTCCCTTGCCATTTGTGGTGCTGCACTCTGGGAACACAACTATAATCCGACCAGGGTATGCGTCGAGAAGCGCCCGCACATCTGTCATGCTTTTTCTAGGCTCCATTTCCGCGGCCGCAGAGGTGCTCTGAACGGGGCTAAGAGCGTGTGCTATAGCTTGGAAAAGGGAAACGCGCTTTACTTTGCGTGTGCCAAGATGTGAAACCGTAAATATCGGGTTGAACACTGCAGCGAGATAGAGCGCATCAATGGGCGAGGTAAAGCTAGCGGCAATGACAGAACCAGGGTGTGGCATGCGCGAAACAGGCTGTTGAGAAAGATACCCGCGCTTGACGCCATCAATCTGAAGGTCCACCCACCAAATGCCCGGTATTGCCATCATGGTCCATAACAGAAGCTTTCGTGCTGCTGCTGGCAAAGGTAGATGGTGGAGGAAGCAAAAATAAAGTGCACCATATGTAAGGAACGGGACGAGGCGAAGGAGCACCAAGAGCAACCGGGGAACCGTGGATAGCGTCGTCGATGGTGTCTTGATTGGCATGAAGGGAGACACCCCGGATCCTACACGTACTCAGTGTGAGTATTTGTATGCTCCTTTCGCACTGAGTGCATTGGAGTTGCGATGAGAATTTTTCACGGCTTCAAGAGAGAGTCGAGGTGGGGCGTGTACCTACCCTTGTCGCGAAATTGGGAGTACTTTTCCATGTTTCGAACCCGGAACCAGAGTGCTTAGATTTTTTTGATTTTGTTTTCTGTGCGACAGGGAATATATGTGCAACTGAAGGTTTTGGAAGGAGAGAAAGGCTTGAAATGCACGATGGTCGTGAGACGAACTGTGGTTTGTTGTGACTCTAGAGACTTGTGGGGCACAAGGCTGTGGCAAACTAGTACGACATTTTGCGAATAACAACGTAATGAGACTAATGCGTAATATATCGTATGGAGTAATAAAGGATGTTAGGAGTAATTACTGTGTACTACGCCTTCTGTAGTATGGTTCTCCTACAGACCACTTATCTGGCCAACTTGTTAAAAAGTGGAGACTTTACGTGGTTTGTTTATGGTTTGTTTACACAAAACACACAGAACGCAAGACCGCCACGTGACCTTGTCGCAATTGTAAACAAAGCGTTTTCTGTTATCTGGAATCCAAGTCGTGTTGCTTTATTCTCTCGTGACTGTCCTTTTTTGTTTGTTTCCGTTTTACTTTGTCCTGGGACTACGTTTAACAACACATCACAATTTGGCTTTAGATTCCTCACAGCTGTGATTCGACCTCCTGTTTACGACATTGAGCATATTCACTTCGGGGAGCCCCTTAGTAATTAATCGAGGGAAAGCAACAACCCTTGATTTGCTGGATTCAAAACTTCATCGCCCCCTTCTTCGACTAGCTATCATCACATAAGGACCAGCGATACGTTACTCGACTATGGATGAACATGAAAATACGGTATGTTGCATCTTGTGGCTTTCAGTGTATATTCCTTTGCGTTTCATCTAACATTACAAGGCGTATCGGCGCTCGAAGATTCCTCACCCTAGAGGGGCATTGACCTCATCTTTGCAGGAATTGACGGATTCGGGGCACAATTCTCAGTCTCACTCTCCAACACCAAGGGCAGTCTCCACAACTAGCTTGAAGCGGCCGGGTTCAAACCTCAGTAAGCTTGAATAGAGCCCTGTTTTTCTTATATAACGGAGTTTGGGAGATGGGGATGTACTTACTGCCCGATATACTGGTGACTAATTCTTCATCATTAGAAACTGGGCCAGAGACGAAACGGCAAACACTAGCCCAAAGAGCCGGAGAATATAATGTGAGGTGTGCTCTATCTGCTCCATCTACTACGGCATCAAGTAGCACCATCAAGCCTACCTCGATTGCTGCATTGACGACTAAGGTGCGTTGTTTCCTAGCCTGCCACTATTTATTGTTTGCTGTGCTACGTTGTTTGTTAACTCTTAAGAATGACAGGGTCATCAAAGCGCAGTCATACCCAAGCCTACATCCTCCCTCATGTCCTCGAGCAGCTCGACTTTGAAATTTCCAACAAGGCATTTGCCATCTGGCCGCAGTTACTTGCAAAGCCTTGGCGTCGGGAGGGGCTGCATTCCTGCTAAGCGGCCTGCAACTTCTACGGATCAATGTGAGGTTGATGCCCAAGACGAAATGCAAACGACGCGAGCCATACATCACAATGGTAAAGTAATATCACTTGAACTGTACAATTTCCGTCCATACGCAGCACGATTGGCTTTTCAGCGCCAATCCCCCTATGGAAAGACTGGAGCGGCTTAAAGTCAAGTGATTTTAGTCTCGAGAACTGAGCGGGATTGTTGTATCTTTACAACCGCACAAGAGGATAAAGACATCCTTGGAAGTTTGCATCTTTGACCCACGAATTGGGGCACGTCTCGTGGTGTGAGACACACAGCGACATACGCTTTCAGTGATTAGGAAGATATACAAGTTTATCGACTTCCATCGATGCTCGAACCGGTACTTGCTAGGCGAGGAGAACCTGACTTAGTCATTTGACATTCTAATCCACTAGTACACCAACAATCACCCCCAAAACCAGGCACGGAACTCTAACTGCTCAAATGTTTAGTGTTAGACGTTGACGAGCGCCTTCGCGATGTTGAGTACCAGTTTTCCAGCCTTAAAACTGTTATGAATGAGTCGCTTGCCGGCCAAAAATCTTTAGAAGAGGTCGCGGCTCTTTCTAAATCCAGAGGTATGTCTTACTTCGTTGTACTTGAAGGCCGGTCCTAGTTTGGTAACTGGTGATTAATCGACCGAACCTCAGCCGATGATCTTCAACGGCAAAGAGATCAACTGGAAGAAAAATATGAACTTTCGCAATGCCAAGTGGAAATGTTTCGGCAACAACTTCAATCTGCAATAGCCACCTTAGAAAATGTACGACACGAATACTCTCACAGGATCGACGACCAATCGCGTGAACACCGCCACGAGCTCGATAGATTGAGGAAAGAATTGCGAGAAGAACTTCAACAACGAGAGTGGGAGCACAAAGAAGCCATGAGCGCCATGGATAGGAACCACAAAGCGAACCAGGCAGAGGAGTATGCCCGTGCACACCAGGAAATGCAATCCCTTCAAGCCAATCTTCAGTTTGAGCACCAGAGCCTTAAAACAGAGATGCGAGGCAAGGAGCACGAAATTGAAAAATTACGGGCCGTAATCGAGAACCAGCAATCCAACATCGACAGGGAGTGCTCGTTCAAATCCGCTCTGCAAGAAAAACTTTTGGAGTCGAGTTCTCAGAAGATTCTATTGGAGGATAGAGTCCACATGCTACAGACGCAGGTTGACTTTCTTAAATCGGACAGCAAACAAAAATCGGATCAGTTTTCTGTGATGGAGGCCCGGTTACAGGACGCTCTGAAGGCTTCTCAGGAATCCCGTCAAAGGCTCATAAAGGAGGAGGCTGAACGACGTGTTCTCTTCAACAAGTACCAAGAGCTGAAGGGAAATATTCGTGTCATGTGCCGTGTACGACCGGTCCTGGGGACTGACGCAGGCAGCGACGCAAAATTCCGATTCCCAGATGCGACAACATCATCATCACAAATTGATGTTACTGGGCCAGAAGAAAAGAATAGCCTTGGGGTCGTTTGTCGAAGGACTGCAACATTTGAATTCGACCGTGTCTTTCAGCCGGCCGTTCAAAATGAGGAAGTTTTTGGCGAAATATCACAGCTTGTTCAGAGTGCCCTCGATGGCTACAACGTATGCATCTTTTGCTACGGCCAGACAGGGTCTGGCAAGACGTACACAATGTTTGCAGAAGGCGGTGTGATTTCTCTTGCTGCGCACATGATTTACGACAACATACGACTATTGGGAGAAAAGCAATGGTCGTACACGGTGAACGGTAGCTTTGTGGAAGTGTATAACGAGGAATTGCATGACCTGCTTTCCAACCCCAATTGCGGTGGTTCCAAAGACCAGGAGCCCAAAAAAAGGCTGGAGATTCGACACGACGACATTCGCAATATAACGACAATTGTCAACTGCAAAACCGTACGACTAGGCTCTTCGGACGAAGTCAACGCTATGTTGAACCTGGCACATAGTAACCGCTCTGTGGCGGCTACTGGTTTAAACGAACGGTCTTCCCGGTCGCATTCGATATTCATTCTCGATTTGGTCGGTGAGAATGCAGCCACAGGAGAACAGTGCCATGGCACATTAAACCTCGTTGATTTGGCTGGCTCGGAGCGTCTCAAGCAGAGTGGTGCGGAGGGCGACCGCATGAAAGAAACGCAGAGCATTAATAGGAGCCTAGCTTGTCTTGGCGATGTCATCGAAGCTCTTGGCCGCGGTGCCTCACACATCCCCTATCGAAATTCAAAGCTCACTCACCTCTTGCAGTACTCGCTTGGTGGAAACTCCAAGACTCTGATGTTTGTTATGATTAGTCCCCTTGAGCAACACCTGAAAGAATCGCTCACGAGCCTACGATTTGCAACAAAGGTTAAATACTTCCTAACTACCTCAACAATTGCGTACAATTGCACTATTTACTGACGCTCTGAAAACCTAGGTCTACAATACACATATTGGCACCGCAAGGCCAGCAAAGAAGTACAAGGATGGAATCAGTAACAAGTGAAAGATGGCGTGGGTGGGGATAAAAGCGAGATGTAAATGAGCCTGGTAGGAGGTACAAAGGCCGTGAGAGGACGCATCGCCATCTCCGTCTTGAAGTTCAAAGCGCAGCTGGCTCTTGCTGGAACAAACTACTTTTGCATTTTACGGTGACATAAGTCTGGCTTTATATTGTACATTTATTTAGGGAATACACCTTCACGGAACCCTGGTCAATTCGTATGTGTCTTGGACAAAACTGCATACGACTACATATTCCGGGCCATGACATTATTCAGTCAACCAACTGTTCGTCGTCCATTACTACAGTAGGCGCGCAATAGCCGATTAAGATACCAGACGGTGGTTTGATGAGTGTATGCCGGCTGTAAACATCGAGACTACTTATAGAAGGTGTTAGGTAAGGTTATTTAGATACATGGCGATTAGTGCTCGCGAAATTTAAAACCCGTAGTTAAAATGAAAAGTACATGTGTCATAAAAATGTGTGTTGTTGAACCAAGCGGGGAAAATATGACAAAAAAGGAAGTAAGGACAATAAACCCAGTAAATAAGTTTCGTTCAAAAAGTGCAACTCTTCTTAAATACGCAAAAAAGGACACGACTATAGAAGGCAAGAAGCAAGGAAGGTATAGTTGACGCTGCGCCTGTTTATGTAAAAACAATTAGAGACAGGTAACGAGAGTCGGACCTGTAGAGGTCGTGGCTTACCTTTGACGTCTTTTGGTGGTCAAGAATGCCTGGCCACTCGAGGGGTATCTTGTCTTCAACCTCACCGCAATCATCTCAGCGCACCAAAACCCAGCTCATTTCCTATGTCGCTCACTACAATTGGGTTGAGAGAATTAGGGTCGGAACCAGAACGCTGTAAACTCTGGAAATCGCCAACAGTACGTAGTTGCGTAGTGGCCATATTAAAGCCAGACGATTGCTGCGGTTGGGACCGGATATCCAAACTGGCCGAGTGTAAGCTCGTGCCGATGGCGCTCATTGCATCGCCAAAACCATGGTTGCCTAACATGCTGGCTATGCCCTGGGTTTGATTCATTGGCTGGCCAGTAACATTCATGGTAGGTGCTTGGCTCAGACCACTGTCCATATGGGGCGGAATTGCAAGATTGCCGCCAATGTCTTGAACCATGGATACTTGCTGAGGCTGTTGTGATTGTTGCTGAAAATGAGACTGAGTCAGAGGTTGTGGAGTACGTTGGTTTAACTGCTGGAGCTGGTGTTGCAGTTGTATCTGATGGTGCTGGTGGTGAGAAGACAGCTGGTGTACATGCGATGTTTGTTGTTGCTGCTGCTGAAGTCGGTGCTGTGGATGTTGTTGCTGCCGAGAAAATTGCGGCGGCATTTGACCTTGCTGATATATCTGAGGGGCTTGTGCGGTGTGTTGTTGTTGTTGTTGTTGTTGTTGTTGTTGTTGTTGTTGTTGTTGTTGTTGATGGTCGTTGGACATAGCCCCACCCGCGGAAATAGGGGAAGCGACATTGACAGGTGCCTGGGACTGCATAACAATGTCGGCGATTGGGTTGAAGTCCGTATTCATGCCACGAGAGAAATCTAACCCAGGGGAAAGTGTGGGGGGTGACGACACAAATGGAGAATGCACATCCTGTATTGAGGTGGCGCCAGCCGAGGTCGAGCCTTCTGCTTTGAAATCGTCCAAAGGAAGGTACTGTTGCGAGACCATGCCTGCACTGCCAAAACCATCGAAGATGTCGATGTCACATGCAGTGTCGGGGGGGGACTGCAACATTGGATTGGCCAAACGAGGTAAAACCTCATGAATCTTCACGAGAAGTAGAGGGGCGAAGCGATGCTCGCCAATGCGGAGCATAGCTAAGATGCTGGCGAGTTGGTGCAGATGATCACGCGGACTTGCGGTAAACGGGTTTCCAGATGACGGCATCGCAGCAAATACGTCCGTGAGGCCGTTCGTGACGGTCATAAGGGACTCAATCTGAAAACATGAGTAGTCAGAAACACGGAAAGTGAACAGCAGGAGTTTCAGATGGGGCATGAACTTACCAGCCCGGAGTTGAGCAGTTCAGGAGATCCCTGTTTTGAGAGAGATGCTGCCATAGGGATGATCTCTCGAGAGATGTCCGTGACTGGGTACTGATACGTAGACTGATCATTTCTAGCCGAGCTGTTTCCTTTAGCTAGGTTGATTTGCCATACAAGGTTCTGCAGCCATTGTCGATTCCGCATAACATCATCGAGCTGTGGGTCGGTATTGGCCAGTGCATTGACAGTATCGCTATGCTGCTTCTGCAAGCTTGCCACTTGAGACGACGTACAACTAGAGCGAGTCATATTCCAAATGTCCACAAATGGCGCATCAAAGGGCTGAAATAGTGAAGCAATTCGACAAAATCCAGCCAGCTGGTTTGCAAATGGGTCGCTGGGATCGTCGGAGAGTGTGGGAAGGTCAATAGTGGCTTTCAGGGACAGTGGGCGATCGTGCTGCAAGGCATACGCGCGCTCAGCAACGTAAAGTAGCCAATACATGCGCCTCCGGCGTGAAGCGTCAACTTTGTCCCAGGCCTGATATGCTTCTTCTTTGTTCATCCGTGCAAGGTGCACGAGAGTAGTAGCCTCACGGAGGTCGCACCAGGCCTTGTCGTGGAGGTCAAGCCCGTAGTGACAGGCAAACAAGAAGTAGTTTGTAGCGATTGTGTAGAGTGAAGGATTTTGCATATAGTCGTAGCCTTTACGCACACGAAGGGTCTCTTCGAGAAGTAAGGTAGCTGTAATAATAGAAGCGCCAGGTATGCTGTCGGGTCCGTACGGGTCTGTGATGGGAAATGGCATGCCGGGCTGCAACATCATAAAGGCGCATAGCGAAGACAATAAGCAGTAAGTGTCTAAGGTGGTATCTAAGGACATGGCATCCTGTTCAACACGTTGGCGACTCAAAATGGGTATAGTCGGATACAAATTGGCGAAGAAGAAATCGATACAAGCCTTGACCATTTCGTTTGTCAAGAGGCCCTGGGTTGGTGTGAACGTTGGGTTCGTGATGTTGTTGCCATTCATGCGGTTTTGGATCTTAGCCGAAAGACTCGACTGGCGCTGATTCTCGCGAAGCTCGCTGATGACTTTCGCGCGAGAGCCTTTTGGCCCCTTCTTCTGCGGAATGGCGTTGTACGTGCAGGACAGTTGAGCGGAGGCGCAGTTTCGGCAAGGATTGACGCCATCGCACTTCACTTTCCGCCGATGGCAAGCATCGCAGGCTCGCTTTACTGCGGTCGACATGGCAGTACGGACAGGGAAGCTGTTAATGACAGGAGGGAACGGTATTCAGAACGCCGGAGATCGTGCTGGAATAAAGGTTGCGTAGCATTCGGAAAAGCTTTGTAATTGCAAGAAAGTTGCTCTCACAAATTTAGAGCGAAGGTAGACTTGAGTGTTTGTACGAGAATGACCGAGCCACGCCCGTAGCCAAAGCGAAGTCGTTCAAACAGGTAGAAGCAAAGAAATTGTTAAAGGATACGGGTTGTGACCGTGACGGGCAATCAGAGAGTTCGGTCAGCAAAACGACATGCAGCGCCGGCCGTTGCCAATAGCATGGGATACAGATGGAAACAGAAATGATGTGGTTAAACAAAAGTTTGATCTGGAAGCAGAAAACAGGAAAAGACGATAAAAACGGCGAGAAGAGTGAGTTTCGATGGCAAGCGGACTGGTGATGTGGATGAAATCAATGTGGAAACAAGGAGAACAGATGAAGGAAAGGACGATGGGGAAGGGCGACGCCGAAAATGTGGGTGCTCCTTCTCTTCGGGTTTCCTGGGGCTGTTTGTTTAATGAAGGGCTTCGAGGGCAAACCATCTGAGCTAAATCCTCGCACTGTCCAAGCCAAATCAGGCGAATTTGGGCGGGGATACAAAATTAGGCAAGCGACTCAAGCGTCCGGAATAACGTTTCATTGGGCCGCCAAGTCTAATAGTGGGTCCAACATGCCCCACTGAGACCAGACGACTTAATTTGATTCTACTTGGTTAGAGCTGAGAATAAAGAGGCGCAGAGACGCATACAACAAAACCCGAAACTGTTAACCCACATCCGTCTAGGCTCTAGGGGTCGCTACATAAGACACTAGCGATAATGTATACTATTGTACTAGTCATTCTCAACATTAAGATAGATACCTAGATATACCTCCTCCTTGTTCCCTCAAAGTCTCATGCCGTCAACTCCCTGAACAGTAATCCGATTATTACAAAGACTACGTTTGGTCGGTCTTTTGTCAGGTATGGTAACCACGGGAAATACGATACACCTACATAGTAGAAGTACCTTTTTCGGGGGGAATTAGAGGGGGGGGTCGTGGTCAGGGGCAAGTAAATTACGTTGTTACGACTTAACATATTTTGTTTTCTTCTACCGTAATTTTGACCTGTAAAACATCCCGTATTTCAGCGTTAGATCGTGTCGTGGTTTATACCATTTGTGCCCGTTCATTTACGACGTATTATAGGCTTGTATACCAGGTGTTTGGTCTTGGCTCATATGATCGCTCGAATCTGTATCCTTAATACTTAAGAGAGCGCCTTGTCTTCTCCGCAATATTTCCATCCTTCATGTATTTTGCCCGCTGTCCCCAGACTCTCCCCAGCTTTGTCTTGACCTCTGTCCTTCTTCGCAATAAATAAAGACATATTCCGTCAGGCGTGGTGGATTGTTTGACGGGGCGCGCTCTAACGGCAATCAGCTCTAGTGGGCTGCAGCCGTCTCGTCTCGGACCGATTCTTTAAGGAGGGGACAAACTCGCCGAATCCCAGGAGGGCCATTCGAGAAATCAGCAAAGCTCAATCACGGAACTTAGGAACATACGCATAATCCTGCATGTCAAGGATAAGACGTACAATCGCGCATTATCCGCGTTTCCAATAAACTCCTTGTCAAAACGATCCACGCCTTATTAAATATAATATTAAGATATTTGTGTCGTTAAAGCAACGTGTAAGCAGGGTTTACGTATATAGAAGAAGTCGTACTCGGTGCATAAGCGAGATATGCAGTGGTTGGTTCTTAGAGAAACAACCCTTACGACGTGGTTGTGGAACACAATTGATCATGTGTCGTGTATTTTGCTATCCGATATTACACAAGCTTGGTGTCCATATATTGCTTCATTTGCTGGCATGTTACATGATGCTGATTTCTCAAGTCAAGTCTAGTGTGTCCTAGCGCTTCCACTGAGAGTATTTGTTGCCAATGCTTATCGCACCGAGTTTCCTAGGACGCATTTAGCAACCCGCGCTTCGAAGAACAAGTCATCAAGATCGCATATCACAGTATTTTGTATGCAACGGTTGCGCCTGTGAAAAACAAACAAACTTTGCAAGTGAAGCGGCTTTAGAGTGACCACGAGACAAACACGTTACTAACACTTTGATATTGTTGTAAGCTATTGGTCACGACGATAGTTCGTTTCCATGCCCTTGTTGATTTGGGTTCCAATGCGGTCCGGTGAAGTTCAAAGTTATCTCCGCCACAGTACGCCATCTATTTAGGTGGTTGGAAAACGTGCAGATAGGGGTAAGGAGGTACGTGTCTTAAGCCTTAAGCATGAATATGGGGCGGTGTAGAATTTTATGTCACGAGAGCACGTTTGGAGGGCTTCAGAGTGTATGTAATGTCAC